GGAACTCAGGCCCTTGCACTTGCCAGGCAAGCGCTTATTCTACTAAGTCATCTCCCCAGCCCCTCACAATATTATTTACATTAACTCCTGAAAATATATGTCAAGATATGAGTCTACAAAGTATTTCTAAAAACTATATTAAAAAGTATAAAACTAGTGAAAGGAATCAATTAAGTCAAGGAGAAAAGTTCATTTTCATAAGTAAGAAGACAATATTATTAAAATTTTAGTTGCTCCAACTTTGCTCAAAGACTTCAATACAATTCCAATTTAAATCTGACCCAATTATTTGTGACTGTTAACACACTAATTATATGAAGCAGTTTATATTGTGAAACAACAGACACCGAATAGTCAACTTAGATTTGTCAGAGGATTGACAATATATGACATAAAAACTAAGTTTAAAGCAACAGTAATCACTATGGTGTATAGTATTGGCAAAAAAAAAAAAAAACAAGTAGGCAATAAATTATTGGAATATAATAGAGAACCCAAAAATAGACTCACATAAATATAACCAAGTTACATGTGAGAAAGAAGCAAAAGAAAGTCAAAGAATGAAAGATTGTCTTTCAATAAATGGTGCTACTGCACCTGGGAAACCACATGGGAAAAGAAAAAGAATCTAAACAGAGACTTTACATCTTTTCCACATTAACTCAAAATGATCTTATACTTACACATAAACCATGAGAACTTAAACTCCGAGAATAGAACCTGAGGAAAAATCTAAAGGACTTCTGATGCATTGATCTTTTTTAGCTACTAGACAAAAAGTATGATTCATTAAAACATGATTAAGCTGGATTCCATGCTTAAAATTACAGCTTCCACTCTGAGATTGGCACTGCTCAGAGATTAAGAAAGTACATCACAGATGGAGAAAATATTTCCAACATACGTGTCTGAAAATGAACTGTTATCCAAAATATATAAGAAATTATTCAAACTTAACAATTGAAACCTGATTTGAAGGTAGGAAAAAATATAAACACATATGTTACCAAAGAAAATATAATTGTGGAAAATAAGCACCTAAAAAACGTCTAACACTATTTCTCTAGGGAAAGAAAACAACAAACTTAGAAGACTGAAAGCATTAAAATTATTCTTGAACAATTAAAAAGAAATAAGAACTTTCTCTGAAAAATAAAATTAAAGGATATATTGTCAGGAGATGTGTGTTACAAGACATATTAAAAAAATTTCTTCAAAGATAGAAATTTATGCAGATCCAAAACTCAGAACTACAATAAAAAGTAATAAGTGAAACAGCAGAATAAATGAAGGTTTTTAGTTTCCTTATTTTTACTCATCCAAAGAATTATTACAGAAAGTAATAAACAAAATACTAAGTAATTATTGAAGGTTGATACTTAAGGTGAATGAGCATAGTCATAAATACAGGAGGTAGGAATTGGTAAGATATTGCTCATTGATGGATATATGGTCTCAGAGCTGTGTGGTTAGGCAATTTTGCCACCGTGAAAACATCAGAGAACATTCTAGAATACTCTATTATACTATGCACCTAGGCTGCATGGCATAGCCTATTGTGTCTAAGCTAAAATATATAGCATTTTGTTGTACTGAATACTGGAAGAAACTATAACACCATGCTAAGTATTTGTGTCTAAATGTATGAAAGGCATGGGAAATACAGTAATAAAGAAAAAGAATGGGCGTGGGCTTTCCGCTCTCGTGGGCCGGAAGGGTGACTGCTAGGTTCGTGGCTCCGGCGCCTCTTGCTTCGTCTGGCGATGGCGACGTACACCTGCATCAGCTGCCGGGTGGCGTTCCGCGACGCGGAGATGCAGCGGGCCCACTACAAGACGGACTGGCACCGCTACAACCTGCGGCGGAAGGTGGCGGGCATGGCCCCGGTCACCGCCGAAGGCTTCCAGGAGCGAGTGCACGCGCAGCGGGCCGTGGCGGAGCAGGAGAGCAGGGCCACGGCCACCTACTGCACCGTCTGCAGCAAGAAGTTTGCCTCTTTCAACGCCTACGAGAATCACCTCAGGTCCCGGCGGCACGTGGAGCTGGAGAAGAAGGCCGTGCAGGCGGTGAATCGCAGAGTGGAGATGATGAATGAGAAGAACCTGGAGAAGGGCCTGGGCGCGGACAGTGTCAACAAGGACGCCATGAACGCGGCCATCCAGCAGGCCATCAAGGCCCAGCCGTCCATGTCCCCCAAGAAGGCGTCCTCTGGGCCCGCAGACGGATGCGGCGGGGCCGCGGCCGCCGGGGGGCGCGGGGCGCACGACCGAGACCCCGCGGAGAAGCCGCCTCGGCTGCAGTGGTTTGAACAGCAGGCGAAGAAGTTGGCCAAGCAGCAGGGGGAGGAGAGCGAGGAGGAGGAGGAGGAGGAGGAGGACCTGGATGAAGAAGATTGGGAAGATATTGATTCTGAGGAAGAAATGGAGATGGAAGATACTGACGTTGTGGATGACTTGGACAGGCCGGATGCCCAGGAGGGAGAAGCCCGGGAAAGCCCACCCCGAGGAGCCATCCCTGTAACGGACTGCTTGTTTTGTTCCCATCATTCAAGCTCCCTGGTGAAGAACGTGGCGCACATGACCAAAGTCCACAGCTTCTTTATTCCTGATATAGAATATCTTTTTGACCTTAAAGGACTAATTAAATATTTGGGAGAAAAAGTTGGTGTTGGGAAGATTTGCTTGTGGTGCAATGAGAAAGGGAGATCCTTCTACTCCACGGAAGCCGTGCAGGCCCATATGAATGACAAAAGCCACTGTAAGCTCTTCACAGATGGTGACGCTGCCTTGGAATTTGCAGACTTCTATGATTTTAGGAGTAGCTACCCAGATCACAAGGCCGGGGAGGACCCCGACGAGACGGAGGAGGTGCCCTCAGAAAAGAACTTGGAATACGATGAGGAGACCATGGAGCTGATTCTGCCTTCGGGTGCCAGAGTGGGCCACCGCTCGTTGATGAGATACTACAAGCAGCGATTTGGCTTGTCCAGAGCTGTGGCTGTGGCTAAAAATCAGAAGGCCGTGGGCAGGGTGCTCCAGCAGTACAGAGCCCTGGGCTGGACTGGCAGCACAGGCGCAGCCCTGGCGCGGGAGCGGGACATGCAGTATGTGCAAAGGATGAAGTCCAAATGGCTGCTCAAGACCGGGATGAAGAACAACGCCACCAAGCAGATGCACTTTCGGGCCCAAGTGCGGTTCTGAGTCCATGGCCAAGCGAGGCATCTCAGCGTGGCTTCCCCCTGGCTAAGGACCGGTCTCGGGTGGGGACAACCCTTCCGCTGCTGTTGGTTTGTTCCTGAACCTGTAATAAAAGTTGGAATCAGAAAAAAAAAAAAAGAAAAAGAATGGCATCCCTGTGAAGAGCACCTGGGAGCAGCCTCCACAGAGGACCACGTGGGTGCAGAGTTGTTCTGGGAAGTGAGTGCATGAGTGAAGGCAACCCCAAGGGGGACAGTGCCATGTGCGACACTTGTAATTACTGTGCACTTAAGTACACCAACTTGATTTTTTATTTTTACTTAGTCAAGAGCAAATTAACTGCAGCTTATTGCAACTGCTAAACTAAAGACAACTTGAGGCTTTTACAGTCTCCAGAAAAAAACAAAAAATGAAGCTTAGGGGGCCAGGGAGATGGCTTAGTAGAATAAGTGCTTCCCTAACAAACCCTAGGGACTGAGTTCAATCCCTCATCTGCCAAAATAAATAAATAAATAAATTTTAAAAAACTAAAAAAAAAAAAAAAACCCCGATAGGTTTTAACAGTGTCACAGCAGAGAAACAGGCAGAAGGAAAAAGGGAAGGAGGTCTTTATTATCAAGGGAAAGGGGCTTCATTATCTTGGAAGACACAGAGAGAATTTGGGAAGATAAGGAATTTTCTGGATTAGAACAAAGTTGGGGTTTGAGGGGGATGTTTAGATATACCTGAGGAGCTGATGGGGCAGAGGTGGCGGGAAAGGTGAAAGGAAAGTGCATACTGGGCTGAGTTGGAGAAGAAGGGGGGAGATGGTCTCTGAGAAGATGAGTTGTCATTTTAAGGGTTTCAGTCATACTGGATTTACCATCATACTAATTCAGCAATTCATACTAGGGCCATAATCTATCAAAAACAAAGCTTAGAATTACATCCCCTAGTCCTTTTGCCTCTTCCCTTCTTCCAGTGCCAGTGGTTGGCAGCTGTTTGCAGCCTCAGTTCGCCTTAGTCTGCAGTTGAGCTCAGTGAGTGCTTCCCCTTCTTGAGCCAGGCCACTTTGTAGGGTTCCTGCATGCCTTGCTCATTCCAGAAAGCAAACCAGGTTTCAAGAACATTCGCGATGTTTACAGGAGGCTCTCAGCACGGAGCACTCACTGAAATTTTCTCTGTTACAAACTTGAAATTCTTAGCATTCTGAATTTTGAAGTAGCACTTAGTTTTAAATATAAACACATTGTACTGCTGCACAAAGATATACTATTTTGTTTTTGTTCCATCCTTATTCTATAAAACTTCCATTTTAAGGTCTCTTTATTTAACTCTTTTTTACTTTGTAGCTTCTCTACCAAAATCTGCACATGAATATATATGTATATATACATATATATAAAGCATTTTATTTCCTAAAATAAAACATTTATTTCCTAATATATATATATATATATATATATATATATATATATATATTTCCTTCCAGTTTTTGACAATTCTGAATTTTATTCACAATTGTCAAGAAATGGAAGGAAATAAAATGTTTTACTACAGATGAGTAGATTAAAAACTGTGGCACATCCACACAAGAGAACAATGTAGATTTCAAAAACTCAAGGGATTTAGGGTTCAGGACATTGCTTAGACTGTTGAAAATGTTCAGTACGATACTCTCATTGTAGAAACTATTCATTTACTTAAAATGAAAAAACCATGTGAGGCAAAAAGAGTATGACTTAGCATGCATGAATGTAAAACATAACAAGAATGTAGGAGATTAAAGTTGGAATACAGAATGAGACAATCAGTCTAACTGTGAGACAAAGGTGTGAAACTATCTCACTAACGGGGATGTTGGGAAGAGGTGTGCACTAACCTCAGTGTCTTTGAAGATGAATAGACATGAGAGAAATAAAAGCAAGAGGGATCCTGTAACAAACTGTGTTCTCTAATCAATAAAGTTGTTTCCAAGGGTATGATATAACAATGCTGATAGTGAAACATTACAAAAAGTGTATCCGGACTGAACCACTGAGTAACTAGATGACAAGAGCTGGCTTTTCACTTTTGGAGTACAAGATTACACATACGTAAGAGGATGAACCCTGAAAAATCAATGCATCTACAAAATTAACCAGACACATCAATGGAGAATCACCACTAACAAATACAAAAGGCAATGCATGCGAGTACTTATATGCATATGTGTGTACAGAGGTTAGAATATGCATGCATGTATTTCCTGTTCTTAAAACAAAGAAGGCCCCATACTAATGATGTTCCAGTAGCAATAACCATACTTGACGTGTTTGTTTTTAATACTGCAATTGAAGGAAACAGGGCTTCTTGAAGGAAAAAAATACTTCTAGAAATAAAAATAGAGCAGGAAATGTACAGGATTAGCCAAGAGCACTTTTTGTGACGGAAAGTAGGAAAATGGGAAAAAAATCCACAATGAAAATGCTCCCAATAACCAGGGTTAGGCAACTATAAACAACAAAATAAAATAATTTTATTAGATTATCACCCAAGGTGTAAAATAAATGTAATTAATATTGATATAAACATTGTTATGAATAAACAAATAATTAGAGAAAAAGGGTCCCATAACTCAAGGAGAAGACTTCTGAATTTTTATGTAGATTATTGGAAGTGAGTGAAATATAAAGTATTCTTAAGCAATGGCTGTTCATGGTGATTTCCTTCTAAAATACATAGTGTTAACAACTAAAAGCAACCATATCTACTTTATGGTGGAGAAACATGACAAATATTATCTTCTCACTCTGACTAAGGTGAGCCATGTTGGTAAGTACGTGCTCTTGATTTGCTGATTTGAGAAGGAAACTTTATCTACACATTCTCCTTCTCCAAATCCAAACCTAAATTTAATCATGATGAAGACAGAAGCAACACCTTTGAACAGACTGTCACTTTATACAATTTCTGATTGATTTTCCTCAAAAGTCTCATGGTCTGGGCCAGTGAAATAGCTCAGCAGACTAGGTACCTGTTTAGGCAAGCACAGGGAGTGTGGTTTGACCCCCGACACCACATGCCATGCAGGCCCTGCCCCCCAACTTGTTGATATTAACAATAATTGTCTTCGCATAAATGCTAACAAATCACTTTTAACCCTAAAATTCTCTTTAATGTATATGACTTTATGAGTTCTAGCTCAGAGCCTCTCTCAATTTTCAGTACATGTGTAGAATCACACATATTATAAATACATTACGCATTGTTTATTCTATTGAAGAAACTATTAAAATATCACTCTTCCAGGAGACTTCATAGAATGGCTAAAAGATAATAAATAACTTTCTCCAACAAAATCTAAATCACATAGGAAGCTCCCTTACCATTACACAAATTTGTCAAAGGTTGTCTATTTCATGCCACTAAATTCTTGACAATTATGATGGAAAAAAGCTAAATTGTAGGATTTTATAGTAAAAGTGACAACCTCAACTTATTTAGGTCCACTTATGAGTATAATTCTGTACTATATATGTTGCTAATTTTATGATTTTGCAAAATATTTAAACATACTTCAGTCTCAAATATTGTAGTCTTAAGTCTTTAGTATGAGAAGCTAAAGTCCCGAAATGAATAAAAGATAACCAGTCTAAGATCACACAAGCAACATCTACAGCTTGGAATAAACACATATCTGTGTATTCTAATGCTGTCGTTCTTTTGGTCAAATGATACTGCTTTGCAAAAATATAATTTTTTAAAATTTTCCATTTGCTCATTTCTATAAGTATCATCATTAGACAAATGCTTTTGTCTAATCTAGCTAAACAAATCAGAGATCAGGGAAAATTATAAATTGAAATATGATAGGATATTTGCATGAGCTCAACTTTTGCAGTGACCCAGTGAAAAATGGCTGAAAATAGAGAGGGGCCTCTGGCTATTATCTATCAGACTGGACTCAGGAAGTTAGGGACATATTGACCCCAGATACTCTGTCAACATCAGTTATCAAGGAGAATATATGTTAATCTTCAAGATATAACAAAGGGGAATTCCAAGGTCATTAGAGGTATCACAAAAGGACTCATAATTTGTTGTTCATTAGCACTCTTAAAAATTGTACCATGCAATGGAATGTGGAAATATTTGAAGCAAAGCATACACCTTTGAAAATATATGTGGAAGAGAGGGCCCCAAACCAGATGATTGTAGCTGTCTAGAGGAAAAATATGTGCATGATTGAGTTCTGAAGTGTTCCACATTTTGCACCAAACACCAACTTTGCTTTATAGTTGACTTTGAAAAACAGGTCAAACTTCTGGATGCCTAATGGACTGTACCTTTGTGTTTCCATTTTCCCATGTGCTCTTGTATGAAGCCACCTCAGATATATGCTAAGCATAGAGTAAATGCAGAACAAACCCACCAACATAATAGCATGTCTTTCCTTTAGACACAATAAACATTTTAGGAGAACATATTAATTTAATTAGATGAAAATAAATAATCTATTATTTGAGCTTTTTCTTAATTTTCTCATGCCTTAAGCCTTCATATAACAATTAGGAATTGTTGATAGATTTCAACTGAAGATGTATGCTAGAGCTTTTTTTCCTTAAGAAAATCATTCTGATGAACAGGCATGGAGGGGGAAAAATCCATCTGTAATTAATTGGTAAAATTTCCCCAGTCTATAACTATTTCCATATTCCAGAAGATTCTTAGAGTGAACCACAGTGGGATCACTAAAAGTTTCTTGCATGTATTCCCTACTCCCCTAGCTTATGACAGGATTAGTTTTTGTGGGAAGGGCTCACATATCAATGCCAGCCTCCTAAAGCAAGCTTGTCCAATAACCAAAGTAAACCATGGAAAGATAGTGTGAAGGAAGGAAAATTCTGAAACGAAATTATTCTGAAGGAAAGGGGAGGTCAAGGCATGCCACAGCTACAAGAATGTGCTAACTTGGCTATTTGTCATTTACAAATGAGAACATTCTTCAGAACCCTGGCATTGTGGCAATGAGTAGAAAATGCTTGGGGAGTGGTCCCTCTTGGACCCACTGGGCCCACTCTTTACTGTAAAGAATTCCCACTAGACTTAGAAGAGAAAACTTGGGGCCCAGAAACCAGAAACAGGAAGGTGTGCAAC